TACTTAAGCTGATTGAGGAAAAACATTTATTTTCCTGATATTATCCCAGGTGGAGCACTGCCATAGTACTTACTGCCTGTCCTTGGAAATTTGGAGTCAGTCATTTCTTAAAATGCTATTAAGAGAATAAGTTTCTCATGCAATAGACAGACTGCAAACATCTCGGTGGTAAAATAATCACCACATTTTGTCCGTGTTATATGTCTAACACCTGGAACACATTTCCAATATGATATGTACTTGATAAGTAAATACATTATTGGCCAAAAGAGTACCTACCATCTACTTTATTTGCTATTGATAATTAACATATTATTTGAATAGTGCGCACAATAAAATGCACAATAAAATTATTTTGCCAAAATATCCCCATATGAAAGACAGAATACAATTCATAAGATTCCTGGCATGCTTTCTGGGGGAGCCACGCTTTTGGGGTTGCTTAGTGTCCTCGTCCTAAAGACCAGAGTCTGTGCTTGCTCTGACGTGTCAACTGGGGGTCAGTATGGACATTTCTTTGTTGATTTGGGAGTCATTTTTTGGATTCATTGCTGTTGCTTTGTGTTTGGCGTTTGAGAAGGCCATAACTAATGAATACATCAATTGTCTGTAAGTTGAAGAGAGAGCTTACACTCTGTATTTGCTAGGAGGATCCGGAGAACTTGGAGGCCCCCCTCATTCCACTCAGTTGAAGGGTCCTAGCCAGTGGTCAGCAAACTCATTAGTCAACAGGGCCAAATATCAACAGTACAACGATTGAAATTTCTTTTGAGAGCCAAATTGTTTAAACTTAAACTATATAGGTAGGTACATTGTTATTAACTTAATTAGGGTACTCCTAAGGCTTAGGAAGAGCCACATTCAAGGGGCCAAAGAGCCGCATGTGGCTCGCAAGCCGCAGTTTGCTGACCACTGTCCTAGCCTATCAGTCCATTCACCAAGGAAAGAGTCTCCCTTTACTGTTCACCTCTTGCAGACTCACTACTACTTAGGAGACCCCAACAGCAACAGCCTACCTGCATATGAGCTGAGGACCCCTCCTCTCTTACGAGTCAGGAGATCTGGGTGTGTGCAGACAAGTAGCCTGGGGAAGAGAAAACGCACAAAGCATTATAGGAGAGTCGGCAGACTGAAGGAGGAAACAGCAACATAATCAGAACAGATGACTCTTGCGAGTACCCTTAAGGGAAGAAATAAAAAGAACGCTAAAAGAAAATAATGTGAGTTCCTAGGGAGACCAGAGAACTTATTACAAAGGAGCAATCTGAGAAAAAGAAAGAGTTCTTGGAACTCAAAAACATTGTTGGAAATGGAACTGAGCGTCTTGAAGCTCAGATGGAAGAATGATGTCATAAAGAGGAAAATCTCAAAGCAATGTAAATTATGAGTGCAAAGCAAAAAATAGATGTGGAAGATGCATCCTATTGTTGTTAGAGGATAAATGAGTTTGACCTTCTTGAAGAGTAATTTGGACTCTCCATCTAGTAATAAGCTGTATACACCCTATTATAAAGTTCTCAGCATTCTAAGAACTACCCTACAGTGTAAGAGCGTGAGTCCAAAAATAAATGTTCAATATGCTTTCTGCAAACTCGTTGAATAGCAAAAATTCACAAGCGACTTAAATGTTCATCAATATGGCTGGGTTCAATACATTAGGGCATGTCCATGAATGGATTCTACTTAGCCTCTAAAGAAAGAGGAGATCCATAAATAACAATTTAGAATGCATGGCCATGAAAATATCAAGAGAATAATTTCTATATTATAGAAAATCGTATAGCATAACCTTGTTTTGTTGAAAAAATTTTAATATATGAATATGCACAAAAGTGTATGCATGCATATGTGTTTTCATAAGCATAAACAATAATTGCAGTCAGCAATGTTAGCTGTTTTTATTGTTAAACATGAATTTTTCTTCTGATATTATCCCAATACTGCCCCAGTTAGACTTCCCAGAATTCCTTTTCTAGATTGGAACATCAAAAACCACCTTCCCTCCTCACTGACCACCTTGTAATTTTGTATTAAATCATCATGTGCTCTGCCCTGGCCAGTGTGGCTCAGTTGGGTGTTGTCCTGGGCACCGAAAGGTTACTGGTTCCAATCCCATTCAGGGCATATGTCCGGGTTGCAAGCTCAGTTTGGTAGGGGGCGTGCAGGAGGCACCAACAGATGTTATGCTCTCACATTCTCTCTCTCTCTCTCTCTCTCTCTCTCTCTCTCTCTCGCTCTCGCTCTCGCTCTCTCCCTCCCTCCTTCCCTCCCTCCCTCCTCCCCCTCTCTCTCTCCTTCCTTCCTTTCCCTCTAAAAATTAATAAATCTTAAATAAGTAATTAAATCAGATGCTCCCTCCAAATTGTCTACTGGTCTCCAACCAGACAGACATTATCATGAGGGCAGGGAATGAATGTATTATTCGGGTCTAGCTCAATGTCCTCTGCATACCAGGCACTCAATACACATTTAGCAAATGAGTTAGTAAGTTTAAGGACCCTCTTTCTCCTTTAAGAATTCAGGCTTTTCTTTTTCTAATGTAGAAAGAAGCCTAGAAGAGCAAAGGTGAGTTTTGCTGTCCCTCTATAGCCTGTGAGACCTCACCACCCCATCGTCCATAATAGCTTTATTTATTTTGTGACCCAAGAAAAATCGGTACCAGCGCATTTAGCTACATAATGCAGTCTCAAGGGCAGCACTGAGTAGTGTTCAAAGTAATCAATGATAGTGCGGTGAAACTTGCCCAAGTGAAGAGCTCTTGTCCAATGAATTTGTGGATGGATAACAGATGGTTTTCTTTGTTAATACTTTCATGGCTACAGAAGAGCCGGCTATCAGAGGCAGTGGTGAAAACTTTGCTTAGGTGAGAGCATTCTACATTTGTTTCCCAGCAACAAGTCCCTCCAGGGAGCCAAAGGGTCCACAATTTCAGAGGAGTTTGGAGGGGTGAGTGGGAGGGCTGTGTGTATCATGCAGGGAGGTCAGATCGATGTTCCAAATTTGTCCCAGTCAGTGCCGCATAGAACACCTTGCTAAGCCACACCATAGGATTCAGCTCAAAATGTCAGCTCGATAGAAATGTATCCGAGTAAAGATCTTGTGTAAAACACTGTGAAAGAAAAATTACCCCTTTTCTTCCTGGGCCCAGCAGTTCCGTAATTTAGCAGTTGGTAAGTCTAGGCGCCTCACCCCCAACCGTGTCCATGGATAGTAAATGAGGAACCACGTGGCTTGCGAACGCATTTAGGGACTTTTCCCATGTGGGATGATGCTCTGACTCAATTATACTCAGCAGTGGGAGGCACGGAGATGAGAGGTAGGCAATCTGGGAGAGAAATGTGGGACAATATTAGGGCTATTTCTGCCAAGAGTGGAGATTCCTTACCCAAGCAAGACTCTCTCCATAGCCACCTTCCTAGCTCCAGTGTCATAGACTTATCTTCTTATTTGGTTTTTCCAAACTGGCCTTCTGATAGTAAGAATAACAAGAATAGTAGCAACACCAGGAAGCACTTACCCAGTCCCCACTGTGAGCCAACTTATGTCACTACTTTATACATATTATCTTCTTTAACCCTTCCGTGAGTCTTTGAAGTAGCCACCAACATAATTTCTATCGATTTGCTGGTCACACTATTACTACAAATGGCAGAGTTTGGAAAAATATTGCCCGTCAAAGTGACCAAGCTGACTTATCCAGACCCATGTGGGTAGCATGACCAGAACTTTTTCTAGGTCTGAGGACCCTGTGACCGAGTGTTCAGTCCTGGAGATGACCTGGAATTGTCTGAGTCTCAGAATGCGAAGAGTTCACACCAATCACGGGGACTTACCTGACATCCCCTGTTAGACCTACTCCCCTGAAAAGCACTCCTTTGGATATAACTGTGGTAGATTTAAAAAAAATAATGGATTTGGAAGCAAGTGGAGTTGTGGTAGGATAACGCCACACTGAATAATTGCCTACTCCAGTGGTCGGCAAACTGCAGCTCGCAAGCCACATGCGGCTCTTTGGCCCCTTGAGTGTGGCTCTTCCACAAAATACCACGTGCGGGCGCGTACATACCGTGCGATTGAAACTTCATGGCCCATGCGCAGAAGTCGGTTTTCGGCCTGGGTGAGTCTATTTTGAAGAAGTGGCATTAGAAGAAGTGGGGGTACATTCACTGAGGTCAACCCCTCAGATTGAGGACGTTTTTAGCAAAGGCAAGCTTAGGAGTACCCTAATTAAGTTAATAACAATGTACCTACCTGTATAGTTTAAGTTTAAAAAATTTGACTCTCAAAAGAAATTTCAATCGATGTACTGTTGATATTTGGCTCTGTTGACTAATGAGTTTGCCGACCACTGGCCTACACAATTGGCAAGTGCTTCTCAAGCACAGACAATCTAATTGTTTCTCTCTTTTCACTGCCTTCTGGAAACACTACTCCCCAGAAACACTCTCTGTTTCTTGGAAAAGAAACTTGTCCACTTATCCCAACAAGCATGAATTGAGAAAATCATAGCCTTTAGGAGGAGTTTCATTTAGCGGAACAATGTGTTAGAACTGGGCCTATAAGAACATGTCCAATGTCCGTGTGAACCAGAAGCAAGAGAAGGATGATTCTAAGCCAGCGGTCGACAACTGGTGGTCCGTGGCATCCGAAAGGTTGGTGACCGCTGCTTTAAGCCATTGAACTGGGCCCTAGACTCTCAGGTTTCCTCTTGCCAGGATCGCACCTGGGACACAACATCAGCTTCCAGTGATCTTGAAACTCTAGGATGTGCAGGGCGGGGAGCTGAGCATGAAATGAGATGCTACCGTTCCTCCCGTGTTTTCTCTCTGGGCTAAAGCTTCTTGTACCTCTAAGAAGTTTCCCATTAAATATGTTTTCATCTCTAGATTTCTCATTTTTCTCAGTCAGTGGCTGGACCTTCAAGGGCAATTCACTCTTTTTCATTTTGAGGTGGTGACTGTACAATTTTGTAATGCACTTTTCTCTCTCTGTTTCAGAGGCTACCCTTCAAAGACAGACACTTCACCTGCAGCAAAATGTAAGTACATTTCCTCCTTGCAATGTCTACTTCTCTGCTATCATCCTGAAAACGCCCCAATCATTAAGGCTCCCTCTCACATCATTCCACTTTTAAAGTCCGGCTTCACAAACATGGCCACGATTGGAACTACCTTCCCTACCCTTGATCTGTAGAGCACTGCAGAGCATTTTATAAACTGTTTGAGAAGCAAATTGCACTTGATCAGGGCTGCGACTATACTGCATCTAAAAAGCTAGTAAAAAGTGCAGAGGAGCCCTAGCCACTTTGGCTCAGTGGATAGAGTGTTGGCCTGTGGACTGAAGGGTCACAGGTTCAATTTCGGTCAAGAGTACATGCCTGGGCTGTGGGCTTGATCCCTGGTAGGGGGTGCACAGGAGGCAGCCAATCAATGATTTTCTCTCATCATTGATGTTTCTATCTCTCCCTCTCCCTTTTTCTCTGAAATCAATAAAAATAAGTTTAAAAATATTTTTTAGATAAAGTGCAGAGGAAAAATTAGGCAATATTCTTTTAGACATTATGACCCTCGGACAGCAAACATTTGAATATGCAGGTTCTCTCTCATGGCTGCCGAATGTATTACTCTCTGCCCAGCTGCTCCTCGCAGTCACGGGCTGTTTCAGGTTGAATAGCATTGTCGGTATCTTGGTAATTCCTTCCCGTGGGTATTGCATTGAGCCTGCTCTGTAAACCAGTGTTCTTTCTAGAACGAAACTATTATGTTGCTTTACTCTTGGCATCGCCAGTGTCCGTACCCAAATTCCAAACTCCCTCTATTCTAAAGACCCAATAAAATTACACCGGGTTTGAGCAGGGAGTTTTGAGTATTTTAGAGGTTGGTCTACGTGATTGGAAATAATTGGGAATGAGTATGAGAATGTTTCTTGCCTCTTTTTAATAAAAAGAAAGTTTATATACGCTCTAGAATAAATTGATCCCAGTGCTACATACAGATATTCAAACATCAGCACAAGAAACATTCATCCTTAAAACCACTCAAATATTACATCAAAGTATTAAGCATTCACAGGGATATTTTGGAAAGTCAGTCTCTGCAGGATACTGCTGTGTTCTGTATTGCATTGTCAAGACACCTGCATGTTATGAATATTTTAAGCAGCTTTCATGGATGGAGTCATGTTAGACTTTAATGAGCAGCACTGTCATGCGTATTGTGTTTGTACAAGTGTTCACCTTTGACCGTATTTTCTCTTTTGAATGTGGAAACTGTTCAGGAGAAAGTGTCTGTGTTTACTTTGTTTATTTCGTAGCTCTTTCATCACACAGTTTCTGCTTATGTAGGTTTACCACTGCTTTTTAAGGATTTAATTTTAAATCCTAAAAAATAGTTGCTATGTGTTCACGGCGAACATTAGGTGGATGGCAATTTAAAGCTGCATTTTAAATCATTCTGTGCAAATACGCAACTAGAAACACATTTAGGACAATTACCTCAAGATCTCGTTGTCACGGTTTCAGTCGAAAGCACCTTTATTGTCCCGGATTTGAGGGGTGGGGAGGGGAGACGGCCAGCCATTTCACCTTAGAGGGGTGAATTTGTGATTGCTTTATTTTCACGTTTTTTTCTCAGGGAAATACAAAGTGGTTGGTGACCTCTTATACTAGAAAATATTCTGAGAAGAACATATAGGCTAGGAGTTTACACTACCCAGACAAAATGGGTCAACATACCTCTTTCTCATCATCTCTGCATAACTGGTAGAAACTTGGTCTGACCCGTGCTATCATGGAAACACATTCAAATCACCAGGCAATTGTGACTTGGGTTCGTTTTGGCAACCGGACTGGATCAGCCCCTTCTGGGGGTGACATTATTCCTAATGATGATCGCATTAGACAACTAATGCAAATGTTAACAGCCTCATCAGCGCCCCATTCAGACGAGCCCTGATCTAGGTGAATGGCTGGAAGCTTTCAAAGTAATTGCCCTGACCGGTTTGGCTCAGTGGATAGAGCGTTGGCCTGCGGACTCAAAGGTCCCAGGTTCGATTCCGGTCAAGGGCATGTACCTTGGCTGCGGGCACATACCCTGTGGGGAGTGTGCAGGAGGCAGCTGATCGATGTTTCTAACTCTCTATCCCACTCCCTTCCTCTCTGTAAAAAATCAATAAAATATATTAAAAAACAAAAACACACAAAAAAACCCAAAGTAAGGGCCCTGGAAAAGTGTATGGGCCCCATAAAACCCCGAGGCCACTGAGGGAGGATAATCTTAGCCAGGTCAGGAAGGAATAGATATAGAGCAGCGGTTCTCAGCCTGTGGGTCGAGACCCCTTTGGGGATCGAACGACCCTTTCACAGGGGTCGCCTAAGACCATCGGAAAACACATATTGAATATATAATGACATACTGTTTTTGTGATTAATCACTATGCTTTAATTATGTTCAGTTTGTAACAATGAAAATACATCCTGCATGTCAGATATTTACATGACGATTCATAACAGTAGCAACATTACAGTTATGAAGTAGCAACGAAAATTATGGTTGGGGGTCACCACAACATGAGGAACTGTATGAAAGGGTCGCGGCATTAGGAAGGTTGAGAACCACTGATATAGATGTACCTCCAGAGAGAAAGAGGGCAGTTGATAGAAGGAAACTCATGACCAAACATCAGAAGGCTCCTGTCTGAGTCCCTGATCAACCCCTTAGAAACTGGATGCTTTGGGGGAATGTTACTAACCCCTTCATTTCTAAGAATCTTTATTACGGGTGGGAGGAGGGAAAAGGAAAACGCTGTTCCTGCTTCCATCGCAGGGTTGCTGGATGATCACATCAGATGATGTTTCCGAAAGATGTTCCCATCCAACGATGTTTTGTATCTTTTAGGGATTTCTGATCAGATTACTGGAGGCTCACTCTGTTTTAGTGGGAGTCCCTGGGTCCCTGAGGGCACACGTTGGGCCTTAACATAAATACTGCATCATAGAAGAAAATAGAACCGCACTGGGCCAGATTGGGCCCCTGGAAAGACTCGAGCCCACATTTTTTTGTTTCTTTTCAACCACACATAGTCTTTGGGGCCACGGCCTCTGGTGGAGGAGGATTGTCTTCTGGGTGGTAGGGGTGAGAAAGTTGCCAAACGAACCTGAATTATCCAGAGGCCCGTAAAATGCGCAATTGCTTTTTAAGAGGCCTGGTGATATTGTGTGTTCCTTTCGAGTTTTGGCAGTAACGATTTTCTGCAATTTGTGGTTTTGCAATTTCTCTTTACGCAGACAACACTCTGGCTCTCATTCAATGCCCCACTGGTGGGGGAGGGGCCGGAGGAGGGAGGAGAGAGAAATTCTCTGGTCTCCGACCACTCCAGAAAAAGAAGGAAATGTTAATGAAATAAGTCAGACAGAATGCCTGAGACTAGTGGACGCTGGTTGGTTAGTGGGGGGAAGAAACAACTGTTAATAAATTGCGTGGCGTGGTAGGGATTTCATCGGGGCTGTGGTCGGCTAGGCCAACGTCTGTTCCCTTGAAGCCTTCTTGACTCTCCACTGAGCTCTGCTTGGATTGGGTCTCAGTCTCTTCCTCTTCCACCTGCAGTCAGCAAGGGTAGAGCCTTGTCCAGGCTAAATATCCCAGCTGCTTCTCCTGGCCCCTGGGGCTGCCTCTGGCCTTGGTGGGATGCTCTCTAAATATTCCACCTCTCGGTGTTCGCTTGCCAATGACATCAAGTTGGTTTCTGTAAATTGCCTGGAGATCCCTGTCCGAGAATATTCTTGCGCTCATCCCAGCTGCATTACTGTGTTTTCCTCGAGGCTGTATGCTCTCTGCAGCGAAGTCAGAGGTCCGTGGCCCGCACTCCAGAGGCAGGGCTCCCTCTCAGCGTTTAGGCCACAGTCACTTGTCCTATTCCTAGTCATCAGCGCAGGAAAGGGTTTGCCCACTGTGTTTGCTTAGTTTATGACCGCTGCGCATTGGGCTGAAGGACTTAAAGTTGCACCCAGCCCAAGCCAGTGTGGCTCAGTGGATAGAGCACCAGCCCCAGGACTGAAGGGTCTTGGGTTTGACTCTAGTCAAGGGCAGGTACCTCGGTTGCAGGCTCGATCCCCAGCCCTGGTCGGGGTCCATGCAGGAGATAACCAATCCACGTGTCTCTTTCACACTGATGTTTCTCTCTCTCTGTCTCTCCCCCTTCCTTCCACTCTCTCTAAAAGTCAGTAGGAAAATATCCTCAGGTGAGGATTAAAGTTGCATCCAGCATCAATCTTGTATTCCTTCTCTGTTCACTTCTTTATATCAACACAGCCCCCTGTTCTCCCTGGAGTGGAATCCGGGACTCCGGCCCATAGTTCATGGCTTTCTATGCATCCAGGCCACTTCTTTCTTCTCCTTTCATGACCTAAATGTCACTGTTACGTTTGCCTCTAAGAGAAATAGAAAGATAAGGACTACTCATGTTAATTGGATAGTTTTTGCATATTGGGGAAACTATGACCTTCTTCCTGTGTGTGTGTGTGTGTGTGTGTGTGTGTGTGTTTCGGGAACTGTTTGTGCCTTTGGAAGTCATGGGATTGAATGTTGGAAGATGCTTTCAACCTGGGGCAGTTCCAAAGCACCCCCCCCACACACACACACACCATCCTCCTCACGACACCCTCTTTGGGAGCTCTTTCCGGAGCCCAGGGAAGCCAAATCCACTTGTTTATAGCTCAACCTTCAAACTTTCTCCTGCTGACCTGAGATAACCTTCAAGGGGACTGGTTGGTTTGCCTCTGAGGCAGCTCCGAAGTTGATATGACAATCCTCCAAGTCCTTTGGAATCTGATTCCCTATGCTCTCTGGGTCGTCCTTGTCCAGGCTTAACATCCCCATTCCCTCAGACATTCTTCCTGTGACTTGGTTGAGTTGTCCTTTTTCATTTGTCCCAGTCACTTTCTTCAATGTCCCTCTTAATGTCACAGCCTGAACCTAAGAGACTACTGCCCCGATGGCTGACTACCACAGCGCCCAGAACAAAAAGCTCTCCTATCATCCC